TGTTTTGAGACAATAAACAAACACTTTGAAAACCCAGTTTTTTGGAAAATTTTGCAAATTAAATATTTGTGTTTACTCTAAAACTAAAAAGATTAGGTAGAAATAATAGCTTCTTTTTTATTATTATTAATTTCTTTTAAAAAAAAAAACAGTTTTGGTAAAATAATGAAATCTTAATAATTTGAGCACAAAAATAACAATTTTGTTCTTGTCCAATAAACATTCCCCGTATTACAAACATGGCGGGCTGCCAGGCTGTACTTGTCTTGCGCCATGCTGAGCGTCGTTTGTTTAAACTGTTTTTGTTATTCACCAGTAACCATGACAGCAAAGGTTTGCTCTAGAGGTAATTTACTGAAAGTAGACTGTGTTTGCCCCCTTTCACTCATTTATATTCCAGCATTTATATGGTCCTTCTGTGAAGGCTGTGTTTTACTGTGCAGTTGCATTAGCACGTTTTTAGAGATTTGATTTGAGCACGCAGTAATGTGAGCACATAAATCTTTGTGAACATAGAATAATGACTTACTCAATACACATGGTGGCAAACGCTTGGTTCTGGGTCTGCATTTGAAACTTTATGAAAAATAAATCAGTCAGGTGACTTGGATGATTAACCGATTACACTTGTAAATACGGGTGGAATTAGGGACAAAAAGAGAACTTTACACAATAAAAGCTGCATTTTTATATCCCGAGAATATTTAGTAAAGCATACACATTTTCACTTGTCCATTTTAGATTTTTTTTGTTATTTACTTGACTTTTAAATGTGATCTTGCTTTGAGATCCACTGGCTGATTTCATAATTAGAATTTAACTGAAGTAGAAAATACAAGTATTTATTTTAATTGCTTTTTTTTTTTTTTTTTGCTTTTTCCTATTTGTGAATTATGTCTTCCAGTGACATCATGCATTTAAAATTTGTAAACACCAGAACATGGTGGGCTGCTGATGAATTTCCAAAGCACCTAAATTCAAGATTAGCGAGTTTTCTGGGGGAAACCCAGAAAACTCTCTGTTCAATGTGTTTTGTTGATGTATTTTACCTTTTTCTATATTTGAAGAAATCTTGATCACTTCTCACCACATTTCTTGAATTTTAGTTGTTTGTATTATATTTCAATAATTTCCACTGGTTATTTTACAAATCACATATTTTGAAGAATTTGTGAGACATTTAAGGGGGGATGTCACAGCTCCTCTCTGATACGTTTTCACTTTGCTGTTCTGATGCTTGATGAAGAGGGATGTGATATTTTTCACACACTGGCTGCTTCTTACCAGAACAGCCAAGGTCATCTCAACACCTACCTTTGGTCCACTGCACTAGATGATTGTCAGCTGTATCCAGCGTTGTCGATTTGGCCTTTTGATTTTGTCTCTCTTACACACACGCACACACACATACCTGGTGAGAAAATATTGGCTTCTGGCCTTAACAGGCTAAATCTTTGCTTCCCAGACACAGACTTGGTTGTGTGTGACCCAGCTTGAAACAATGATTGGTTAGAGGCCACCAGTGTGCACAGTGGACGGCAGTGAAGGTACATCTCTGCCACGCTCTGCCACGTCTGTCTTTGAGGAAATTCCCCGTTCAGTACTGCTAACTTCATAACGACCCTCCCTGGCATCATATTTTCCATAATGGCCTTTATCTAATCCATTACCTGACTCCTTTTCAAAATATTATCTTGAAAATTAGCCTTAGACATTCACAACCTATTTCCACACAGAAGTGGATCACTTTTAAATGCCCCTGAATTTGTGTGAGCTGGAAAGCACAAATGTAATTACTGACTGAACTCTGGCTAATCACACTCCTTCATGATAAGCAGTCAGAACTACAGGCTGAGTTGTTGTTTTTTTTTTTAAATCTATGCAATTATTTAGCGCTTCATGACTAAAGTGAGCTGCATGTTATGAAAATGTTTGCTTGACTGTCTTGTGAAAAGTGAAGGAAAACACTGTTGTTGTTCATGTCAAATCCAAGGGACAGAATGTTCCTCCTTCCTCATCATGCCTGTGTTTTGTGAAGTCCACCAGTCCCTGCTGTGCCACAACACCCACACTGGGAAAGTGCTCTCTGGCTTTCAAGCTCCCTCATTTTTCATCTGAGTGTAATTATGGTCACTATGGCTAAACATCTAGCTTAAGTAAGTAAATATTAAGGTCTTTGTCAGTGCACTTACCATACACATGGAGTTAGAAGAATATGCAGTTTCACTTAGCGGTCTCTGCAATAGATACCATCCAATCCAGCACCCTGAGCTCCATCTGGGTGAATAAAAAAGAAAGCAAAATGTCTCTGCTTACAGGAATGTTCCAGATGTCAAATAACAAAGTTTTAGTTTTTGTTATAAAACACTGCAGCCAAACATTTGCATTATTCCACATTCCCACCTTTGTTTTTCACATAATTAATTTAACAGTCACAACATTTGGTATTATGTAGTTACATTTATCAGCCCTACACCAAGTGCACACATAGTAACACTTATTAAAAAGTTTGTTCATGTATTAATGGTAATTATGAGTCTAGCTGTATTTAGTTGACGTCTTTTTTGGACCTTTGTTAAATTTTGGGTACAATAAAAAATATATTTTTATTATGTCTTCTGTGTGTTCACTTCTCTGTCCCTCAGTCTATGTCTTGGCAAAAACAGATGGGAGCTCTGCTTGGAAATTCTGACACTATGTTATTCATAATACTTCCCTCTTGATAAATTTGGCAGAACATCAAATGCTGTAAATGGAATGGAATAAATTGCATTTATGATAACCAGACATTTTCTCAGATATCGGATTATAGCATGACTAATTAGAAATTGATTGTTGTTACATAAAAGTCTTTCATAAAATATCTATATATACAGCACTGCTGCTCCCTAATTTCTCTTTATCTGTTTAAGGTTTCATGTGAGAAAATTTGAAACAAATTTTCGACATGTTTTTTGCACAGTTTCAAACAGAACAAGCTACAGACTATGGATAACGCAGTCTTGAGCTCTCATAAAGCTTTACAATCATCCGCCGGCCATTACAAATCCTTGATTCTTCCTGGGAACATCAAGCCTACCCATGCAGACCCCTATTAATCAATTTTGTCAGGAGAAAAAGGTCAAGTTTGCATAGTCTCAATTGTTGATAGCCGATACTTACTGTTCCTCAAAGCGGACGGCGCTTCAGGCAACCTGCTGCTCTGAAACAAATCAAATGAATTGCTTGAGATCACTGCTCTGTCTGATGACTGGAGAGACAACACAACTATGCCTGATTGTGTGACTGTGGGTCAGAGGGAGAGAGCTGGCAAATGGAAAATGAGTCTGACATTCATTCCCCTTACAAGCACTCTGTCATAGAGTTGCTACATGAAGTTATATTGATATATATATAAAAAATTATGTTTACAAATTTCTCATAAATGAAGGTGAAGCACTGAGATTTTTTATTTATTTTGCTTCCAAGGGCTTTTTGTCACCAGTGTATTTATTCAGCAGTAACTTGATGGGAAGAAGGGCAGAGAGAGCAGTGGAGAACAGAGTCCAGTAAATGGTTCAGGGCCGGGAATCGAACCTGGGACTGCAGTCTGTGCACATAGCGCATTTACTCGACCACTGAACCACATGGTGCCCCACCGCTATAATTTTGTAGGTGCGTATCTGCATCTCAATAAACTATAATGTAATCAAAAAGGAATGTATTTCTGTAATTACACTTAAAAAAATGAAGCCATGTAATGTATAGATTTATTACATAAAAAGTGATATTCTCCAAGCACTTTTTTGTTCCTGTTAATTCTGATTAGAGTGTCTAATTAAAACTCTTTATTTATTTCCCTAGAAAAATAATTAATTTATGAAACCCACAAAAGATTTTTGGTTATTTTTTTTTTTATGTTATGTTATGTTCTTCACAATGATCAGGAATAATACTTACCTGGCAGGTGATCAGTTGTCAATGAGTGACCCCCTTTAAAAGACATGCAACCTGTAAATCATTATCGCTGAAGAAGATCAGTATTAACAAAGTGCTGAATCCAATCATATCAATGAAAAGTTGAATGGAAGGAAAAACTGAGGTAGAAGAAAATGCAATAGCTAACACAGCCCTGAGAGATTTATGAAGCAAAACCTATTCAGTAGTTTGGGGTCTGATGACCAGACTGGAGTCAGAGCCACCATAAATAAATATCTCCAAGCCATGGACCGCACCACCGCTGCCACTTCTAAATCAACATTTCTCCTGGGCATCCGACTGCTGCTCAGTTGTCCAAAGTCATCTTCTCAGACAAAACAAATTTTACATTTCATTTGGAAATTATTTTGTTGGGAGTCTGGTGGAAGAGTGAATAAACACGGAATCTAATTTATATGAGGTTCACCGTTAATTTTCTAAAGTCAGAGATTATTTAGTCAAAGCTGATTTATTTGATATTAGACAGTCTATGTAATGAATCAAAATATGAGCTTTGCTTTTTTATTTGAACTCCTGAAATACATCAACTTTTCAATGATGTTCTAATTTATGCTACAACAATGAAACAATTCCAGAATCAACATAATATAAAGGCCGATGTTTCAATCATATTCACAGGGGATTTGTAGCAGAAGTAACTCCTGCCTACTTCCTATGCATAAACCGTTATCCAGAGTGTAGCCAAGCAGTTTGTTAAAACTGCTGTGTTATTGCTGGTCTAATTCAAGTGTTAACAGCTTCATCACTGTAGCTTTGGGGCGTGGAAAAAATGAAGAGTACGGAGTGCTGTTATCTATTATGGAGCTAATTATAGGAATACGCCTTGGGCTCAGCAACTGTCCCCGGCACCAGGCAATCTGTAATCCATCTCAAAACTTCAGAGTACTTCACAAGGTTAGAAGAGGGATGAAACAGATATAGTAGGTGTAGTTGATGTTGTATTGCCTGCTAAAACAATTTCAAAACAAAAAGTGGAAAGTTAGTTTTGAAATTAGTTTGATTGAAACCATTTTTCCTTGCAGGTTCATTCATATGTGGCTATGTGAATTACTGAGAGTCCGCTGATGAGAAGAGCCTGACTGGGAGAACATCAAGACATCTTAAATAAGTCAGAAGCTTTCCAACTGGTTTCCCTCTTTCCTCTGTAAAGTTTTTACTTCTATGAAAGGTTGTAATTACTATGTCAACTGCAATGTTAGAAAAAATCTCAAGCTAATTATTTACTCTCTTGCTCAGACGGTAAGTAAGAAGATAACTGGTAGATAGCAACATAAAAACATTGTTGATACCTACATGTTGGGGGAATCCCAGGTTACAGAGTAACTGTTGTTTTTATTGGAGGAGGCCTAAAGGGGATCGGCACATGATGTAGAAGTAGAGTAGACGCCCCATGTACCATGGCTGTCAGCCCTCAACATAGTACTGACTCCCAATCCTTCGCTGCAGGTCTTCCCCCCTTTTTCCTTCCCATTTCCTGTCTGATTCTGAAAATCAAAGCCAGTAGTGCCACAAAAAAAACGTCTTAAAAACATGACAGCATGACATATTTATGTTTTACTGTTTACAGTTAATCAGTGTCTGTGAGTTTTTATTAAATAATCCATTGCTTACAGTTTTGTTGGGGTATATGGCATGACAAGCTAATTTTTGCTTAATCTTTGAGCATCAAGCTGGAAAAGGATCCATATTCATCTTGGCATATTTCACAGAAAGCAGAATGGTAAGAGAATTAAAAAAATCATCAGTCTGATGTTTAAAAATGGCCAAACTCTCTGTAACATCGATTAGAGACTATCTGTAGTACCACCCTAAAGTGTTAACGGTAATCTGTGCTGTGTACTCAGTTATTTAGACAATTGACTTGTTTTTATTTTGTTTTATTTATTTTTTTTTTCAGTTGTTTGTCTTTGTTTCATACTGGTTGTGACTGTATATATCTCCTTATACAGTAATTTGTCAAATAAATATATGTTTTATACGTTTGTGTACGATTTCTGTATGTTGCATTTTTTTTAATTTAATAAAGATATATTAAAAAAAAAAAAAAAAAAAAAGATCTATTATGGATGATGTAAAAGCCAAGCAGCTGTTTGGGATTTGTGTCAGAAAAATGCCTTTTTGTTCCACCATTACAAGCGTAAACTCTTTTAGGACTTTGACTGCATCTATGTGATTTAGTCAGATGAGTCGGTTTCAAAAGGTTTACGGCGTAATAGCGATTTTAGCTCATCAAGTCAAAACATCAAAAAGTCTGATATTTAATAGCAGTTCATTTGGATAAAACAGAGCAGTGGACCTTTAACTTTTATCAGATGAAACTGCTGAGTGTCACAAACAAATCTGGATTTCATTTGAAACCCTGGCTTTCCATCACTCCTCAGTGACCTTATTGCACGGTATTTTCACATCGGAAGGGACATCAATTTCACATATTTGCATGACAAACTGACCCATGGGATTGATTTTAGAAGGAAAACAGTTCCAGTTCAACGCACAGGAGCTCAAATCCAGAAAAAGATCAGAAATAAAACCTTATCCGAACAGCTTTTCTTAACTCCATGTTGGCGTGGCATCTTCTTATAGTCAAGTACTGGTTATATCCCTATATGCCTAAGATTAGCTTATCATTAAGCAATGCTTAGAAATTTTTTTTAGAAAAAATCATGTTTCATTCTGCAGATCATATTTCTATTGACAAAAAGTTTGCAGTGGACTCCCAGTATTTTGGGGATTTAGGGACCATAACTAACTGTCAACTACTAAAATCTGTCAATACTTGACACCCCCTCCAAAGATGCTCTTACCTGCCTATTTTGATAATATTACAGGTTTTCTTTTTTCCACTCTGGGGATATAGCTAATCAATGCCAAGGAAAATAAATGGCACTTCTGGAATGACTTCTTGCCAGCCAATAGCGCATCAAGCAGCATTGTATCTAGGTATTTCAGCTTCCCAAGCAACATTTTCTTTTGAACATCTTAGTTATGCTATATAAAAAAACACAAACAGATGAGTTTTCCAAGAACCTTAGGCATATTCCACAGAAAAAACATTTCTTAATAAGTGAATCCGCAAATACTGAACTGCACAGTATTGCAGTATTTCTGGACAGGAACCCAGAAATATTTATCTGACACAAAGTTTGCTGTTGTAGGAAAAAATGCCTAAGCTTCATTTGCAATATATGACAGTATTTCCCAGGGATCTAAAGTTTTATTTTTTTTTTCCCACATAATGCAGCATGAGTGAGGATATTGCAGCCAAAATCCATTTCATGTATATAGATACAGATATATGGATTCTTAAAGATGAAACATCAGTCAGTTTTTAATACAATTTCATCAACTACTTTCCTTTTGCTGCCTCCAGAAAAAAACTTATGTTTCCTTTGTATGTTGGACTATAGTGAAATTGTTTGCACGTTTGCTGCATGGTCCCTGTTTAAAAGGCTGGACTCAGCATATCTTGTTGCATTAGGTTTTGTAACAAATGCAGCCTCTCAAATTTACTACCTTCTTATATTTCAAGCATTGATTATGATGATTATGGGAGTGTTTATTTCATGAAGTTCAATTGTAAATTGTATCTTGTGGGAAAACCTAATTCTTCACAACTGTTTTTTTTTTGTTTTGTTTTTTTTTTTCCGCCAAAAAAGTAATCAACCTTCAAACACTTCCCTCTTGGTATATTTCCAAAAAGAAATGTTTAAGTGTGTCATTTAATGTTTTTTTGTAATTATTTGTGCTGAATTGGAGTTGGTGTGGTTTTAAATATTTCAGATCTGCCTATTTAACTGTATGTCTGTTCACATTTCAAAATAGAGGGTATCTCCATGGAGAGTGACGCTAAGATATACTGGAAATTGCAAATAAAAAAATATATCTTTCCATGATCAGAGAGGAGACTGGCAGTTGTATTAAGGTATCATTACTATTTTGTTTATCTGGCTGCAGCAAGGCCTTGGATTTCACACAAACACAAGGACACACCTGAAACAAGATTTCTGGACACGCTTGGCATCACACATGCACAAGCTTGCACCTGTCGATGTGCTACTGCAGGTTTTCCCTTGTCATTGTTTATTTTCCTCACGCCTTTGATTTAATTGAGTTGGATGGGTCCCTCTAATCCCTCAGGTTATTGGAATTTTGCTAAGGAAGAAAAGTCCTGGCTAGCTTGGGCCTTGTTTTCCCCCAAAATATTTCCAAGCAATTTGTTGGGGAAAAAAGCAACTTCATCCATGTTGTTTTATTGAACTTATAAAAACTAATAATTTATGCTTATTAATAATGTACACAGTGCATGAATATAAGGTAAAATGTGATTAAAAGATGTCATTTTGTCATTTTAAAAGCATTTTTTTCTGTTATATTTTCTTATATATTAAACACCCCAAATATTTTAAATATTTTATTTATTTATTTTTTTTTAATCTATCTCCACATTGCTGATTAACACACTGGACAAGACAAACACTAGACATTGATGGAGCTGCAGGAGTGTCTTGCAGCCTCTACCATGTATGACCCCAGTCTCTAAATGTAAAATGTAACTCTGTCTAAAAAATTAATTTCAAACTATTGAGGCTAAGTTATACTATTACTGGAGTTACTAATTGTTAAAAGAAATATTAAAAGTGAAAAAAAAGCTGTATTTTGGATTAAAAGCACCATAAAATCTAGTTAATTCATTAGTTAACAGTTCATAAATAAGTTGAAAACGACTTTAAGCCACCAAAGGTTTTGTCATTTACTTTGGGTAAAGTAGTTAATTTGCCGCAAGTTTGCTTGAAACGTACATCCCAAAACTGTGTTTTTGTTCCCGCCTAGCCTGTGCTGTCAATTTTGTATTTTCTGTTATTTCATTGGTGGATGAAAACTAAATGTCCAATCATGTGTTTGAGGGCGGGACCTAAATGAGGCACGTAAAAGGTCATCTTAGCCTGTTGGATTTCAACTACCATGATGTGTTAGCTACGTTGCACTCTTAAAATAAACGTGGGTGCAGAATCTACTTTTCCGTTTTGGACTGTTAAACCTTATAATCAGTAAGTACTCAACGTAAATGATCTTTGTGATGCTAATCTGGAGTTAGCATTAGCATTTTTGCATGAGTAATGGGTAACTGTATGTAGAGTACATAAACCTTAGCCAGATATATGAAGCTAATCAGAGACTTTTATCACACAGTGGACCGAAAAGTATTCTCAGGACTCTTCTGAGGTGGATTGAATGGTTTCGCCAGTGTACTCCATGTAGCCTGTGATGTGAAGCTAATTCCAACTCAGCTGTCAGCTGGGACCTGCAGAGCCACGGACAAGCTTTATCCATCCCTCACACCAAAGCAAACTAAAACGATTTGTGAGTAAATTAAAGCATTCATTTTCTATTTGGTTTCAAGTAATTAAACCATTTTTTATTTTTGGGACACAACAAACACGAACTACATATCAGACCTGCAATGGATTTTCTTTATTTCAGTAAAAATTATTTAGATGGTCAAGTTCTGAACTAAATTTAAAGGGGAACTTTTTTGTTAGAATGTGATATTTTGTGTGATTTTGGTTTTAATAGTTTGGAGTAATATTCCTTAATATTCAACCAATGTTGGAACACATCCTAAATCTTATTTCAGTTTTATTGTACATCCTAATAATGTATTTTATTTGCTTCTTTTGATGTTAAACTTTGAGTTGCATCTTAATGTTATTAATACAGATATTAGTAAGGTTTAAAAGCTGAAATGTATCATCCTCAGTGAGTTTAAATCAAACTAGCTCATATTTTTTTGTTTGTTGGAGGCACATCTATAACTAAAAATCATAAATAAGCATATTATTAGTATTTGTTTATTAGTGACATGCAAACATTTCCAGAATACAACCATCACCTTGACAGAGTAAATGTCTAGCTACTTGGGTTGAGTGCTACACAAAGAAAAACCTGGTGTGACGAAAGTAAGGATTACATTTGTTTTGTTTTTGATGAGGGGTAATAAAAAATATTTTAGCATTTTAAATACTCTTAAGATACCATGTGGAGATAATTTCTTACATCTAACTCAATTTCCTGATAATAACTTTGTAGATTTTTATTTATATTATCTTATACTACTTGCCCTGCAGCCTGACTTTCAGAAGTCCTTTGATCAACTCTGTTTTTGAACAGAGGAGCAATTTGTCTTTTCTTTTTACACTAAAACCTTCTTCCAGACAGCCAATCGTATCCTCAACCCCACAGGGGTCATGGGAAGCATGTTCTAAAAAGGCTTGTCTGACATGATTGACTCTGCCAGGTTCCCATAATGGATGGCTTATTTTATACACCATTAATCCATCTATTTGTCAATTACAAATGGAAATTTTTGGAAAGAGGGTAAGGACAGTGACGTGCGGTATTCGGAGGGGGACAAGTTTCAGGAACTGACAAGTCACTAAGCACCACCTTGCATCACTGCTGACTGTAATTACTCAGCCTGTCTGAAAACTAATGGAAAGACTCGTCCCGCATGAAGTGAGATAGTGGCTAAATGTAAATGATGTTTATTTAGAGTGCAGTAAGCACTGTTAGTTTTATTTAGGATTTATTTTGTTTATGCTTTGCTAGCATGCCTGAAGAGTGCTGTGCAGTACAAACACATGGCCGACTCCTCTAGTTTTTTTTTGTAGCATTGTCCTTCCACTTCTCATGGTCTATCTGTACTCTGTCCAATTCAAATATGTCAAGTCTGTGATATTTCACCATTTCCCACTATTGGGGAAATGGTAATAAGGCTAAGGGTGCAAATCCTTTTGCGAGGCATTAAAGTGAAACTCAGCCCCAAATAAACTTTTTTTTTTTTTTTACTGATTAACTGTATGAAGAGGTTATTTGGGGTTTATATCTTTGTGTTTCTGTTCAAATGTTGACATTTATGTGCAGTTAAATTTTCCTGCAGCGGTCTGGGTTGGTACAATTTTGTCACAGCCGCACGTTTGGGTATAAAAACACATCCCT